TGAGGAGCTGTGAGTCTTTTGCAGTGGTTTGTTCTGGCTGATTGTTTGGTTCTGTTGTTATCTGGAAGTAGAGAATGAAATGCAGAATTCCAAGGAAAGACACAGAGGGAGCCAGCATATATCCGAGGATGCACGCACTTTCAGCTGACAAGGTCTTCATGTTTGACAGCTTCAGTGACGCACAGTGGTGAGTCGAGGCTGGGGTGATCAGAGTTCATGTTTCCATGTTTGTCATCATCCAGATTGGAAGACTGCCAAGTAAGCCACCCAACCCAGCGTTAAACATGAGGGCATGAGGGCATGAGGGCATGAGGGCATGAGGGTGTGAGCACTTGTATTTGCTCGTTCATCTTCAGTTGCTTGCAGATTTCCGTTGACGACCAGATCACCACGGCCATCCGAAGAAAAGAAAAACATTCTAATGGCAGGCATAACGGTCATGTTCTTGAGGATTTGAGCATTCAGAGCTCTGTTGAGGCGCAAAGTACAAAACGTCCAAAAGCGCCAGGCGAACCTAATGATAGCCTGATAGCGTCTGTTTGGCTCATCTCTCCGCCCATACCCATTCCAAAACAATATCAAACCAGTGAAAACAACACGAGAACGGAACGTAGGCGGCCATGGAAGCCTACCCGGTCCCAAGGCTCATACCTAAGGTGGATTGTGGCCGACGGTGTAGGGAGTGAACCTCCAACGACCAAGAAACAAAAAGCCTCAAAATCAAAAGAAACGGGTCCATCAACCATCATTCCTCGTAGAGAAACCCAAAGATTTACACAGTCCATGGATGCACCTGCAGGCCAGGCATCCAGGCATCTTGGTTGAAAGGAAACTCGTCAAGAACCCGGGTAACGCGGATAGCGCGTCAAGCAGTCGGATACTTCTTCATTTCCTTTTCCCACCAACCCAGACCCCGATTCCACTTCTGCGCTTGGCGTTCGAGGTTCTTGAACTCATCGCTGAGCCAATCTAGCCTCTCTGCTTCTTCGAAGATGTAGACGGATTCATCGATAATCTTCTTGGTGTCCAGGATTTGTTTCTTCAGGACCGGGAGAGTAAAGGTTACACCCCACGACCAGAACAAATCTTCGTGTTCCTTGCTCTTTATGGCCTCCCAGACTGACAGCGGCTTCGCCGGTGACTGTCGGTTTCGACATGTCAAACACGTGGTGGGGTGGGTCGTATAGGTTCACCGGCGTCACGGGAGACAACTTGACTCGTTCCTCGGGATTTGTGGTAATCACAATGGGTTCGTCAAGCGTGTCAGGCTGTGTGGGTGGATCCTGGAAAGGAAGGATATCAGTGATCGATGGCAGAAAAACAGAATGTCGTGGGGTGGCTAACCATCGTGATCGTGGACAGGTACTTGTGTGTGTGTGTGTGTGTGTGGAGATGTTGTTTTGTGTTGGTAGATCTGAAAGAGAGCATTTCAGTAGGCGGGAAGGCAGGAAGTCATGGTGCTGGACCAACCAATTGCGTGGCACTGGCTTGACGAAGACAATAGAGACAAGTAACGTCTGAATCTGAATTCTTTCTCGGTGGCCGGTGCTGTCGCTAGTAGGAAGCAGCAAAGAAGGTGGAGGAGATTCAGGGGCAGATGGAGGCATAATGTACACTATTATTTCTTGGGCAGACTTTTTTCAACCCAGTTTTTCCCGTCCTGCTCTGACACATCGATTTGGAACGTGTGTGTGTGTGGGGGGGGGGGGTTTGGTTGAGGAGTATGGACAAGAGGTAAGTAGGGATCAGACTATTTCGGCCACCATCGGGATATATGGCTTGGATTTTGATCTGACAGTTCATGGTGTCATGAACCTACTGTGTGCCTGGGGGGCAGAGGCAGACGTGGGTCGTCCATTTCAACTTATATCTGCGACTACTGTCCGATCACTTTTACGGCCGGGTATGCCGGTCCTGTCGAAAAAAGGGGGCCACCTTCAGATCTTGGGCGTTTGGACCATAATTTCAACCAAGAATGTGCGTGTTTTTTGCGTCATTCCAAAGAAGCTCGGCAGATAGCAGGTACCAACCCTGAAACCACCGAGTAACCGAGAATTCCACCTCATATTTCTCGCGCCATGTACATCGCTCACTGCGGCGCTCGGGCTGACAGTGACGCCAAACAGCCATCCCATCAGGAAGGACTCTCGAATTGTTTTGTGACAGCCCAGTTCAATGTTACCGGCGGTTACACTAGAGTCTGTGCCTAACACAGCTAACGGTAATTACTTGCTGAAACGGACACGAGAGGACCCAGCATGCTGAAAACCGGACCAAAGCGATAAATGGAACCAAAACTACGAGTCGACGGCTCACGGAAGGAACTCATGTTTCCGGCCAGCCGGTTAGTAACAGGCATGGTGCCAGGCTGCATCACCCGAAGAATTATCTAATAGAGTCCCACAAACGCCACCCGCTTTGCTTGAATCAAGATCATAAACACCTTATCCAACCCCCTTCTCACCCTTCCGCCTTGTTGTGACAGCCTCTCATAACCTCGGCCGCACCAACAGCAGCCACCGTAACAGGATCTTTGACGTTGTCATCCAAAACCTCCGGCACCTCGCTAAAAAGCTCGTCCATCGTCGTCTTCAAAACCTTCATGAACCTCTCACTAGCCGTAACCATATCCCCCGTGACCAGAAGCACATCCGGCTTTACGACCGTCCCATTACCCGTGACTCGGATACAGTCCAACAGCGCATCCCTAATAGCCATCCAATACTCGTCACGGCTCGGAAACCGATCGATATCAAACGCTCCGAGGGTGAAATTTTCCAAGAGCCTCGCACCGGCATACGCCCAGGTTGCGGAAGGCAAATTCGCAAACGACACCGTCAGTACGTTCCGGGTATAGTGCATCGCAAGGACATTTTTGTGTGACAGCTTCTCCGCACACCCCTCACGCTGACATCGTCCAAATACGTATCCGACGTATGCGGTCTCCATGTCGTATAGGTATGTCTGTCCCTTCGATGCCGTGAAATATCGAATCCCGGCGTGAGAGGCAGCGTCCCGGAGATCCTCCTCGTACAGCGCGAGAAGGTGCGTAGCCGTAAACACCGCCTCTTTGATCTCGATCCGGTATGACTGTTCGAGCTGGTGGCGGAGAGTCTGGATGACGCGCGCCAGGACGCCGACTTCGTGCGAGGCGGGGAGGCCGGCGGACATGAGGGAGCGGCGGGCGGCTATTCGGGGCAGGTCGACGAGGGACTCTGCTTCGCTTTTGTATGGAGGCCTGGTTAACAAGGAGTGTTAGCTGTGGCTGAGGTAGCGGAGAGGGTAGCTTACGCGACATGCTGAGATGATTCGAGTGACAGCTTTGCCATCGTGCGTCTGTACTCGCCGTCACCCTGGACAACGCTGGTGTGTGTCTCTAGGTTTCCGTCTGGCTCATCGAAGATGATTGCCGCGGCGCCATAGGAGGGCTGGAGGCTGATTCCCACGCTGAATTTCCGTAGTGGTTCGAGGTCTGAGGAGGGGAGGAGCGGATGCTGGGGTTGTGTTTCGTCGCCATTCTTCCAGGGTAGTAGACCAGTTGGTGAGCCCGATGCTAAGCTGGAGAGGCCGAGTATGAAAATGTCGAGAGTGAGGAGGAATTTGGTGCGTGGCGAGGCTGCCCGGAATCTTGCTAGGCGCGTCATTTCAACAACGTCCTCTCACCGATTGAATAGTCCGTGTTGTCGGCCTAGTCAGGAGGTGAGAGGACGGGTTGGGAGATTTTTGGGTCTGAGCCCCATAAGTACTTATGAAGAACTTGCCGTCGGGAATCTCGTCGGAAAAAAAAGCCGACATTTGGTGTTGATGGCGGGCTGCGCCGCTCAGCTTTCGGTGCAGGATCAAACTCCATGCGGATAGTGGTTTTCTAGGAACGGAAATATGTCAAATTTGGTGCTTGGTGGGAGTCGAGCTTAGAATAGAGATTTCTTGGCGGCACACTAAAGTCCTTCCGATCCAAACCAAGAAACCCACCACAAAACTGGAAGGCACGATGGATATCGTACGGCATAACGCGGTATATGGTCGGGACATAGGGGCAGGCGCTGGGACGACAGCTATAGGGAACAAAGTGCACTACAGGCTGTCGAATCTCCACTTTGAGGTCGCGTCAAAACTTCTGCTGCCTCACAGTAAAATAAACAAGGTTCTCAAAAGGATGCCCACGAGTTCAAGTTGCAGTTGAGAGAAGAAGACCAGGAAGGAAAGAAAATTTCAGGGTAATCAGAAGAAGACATCAGCGTGCATGGGGAAATATCAAGTCAAAATTCAAATTAATGTGAGAGAAAACTGTGTGCAGTGACATAAGCTGGAAGCAGAGGGTGAGGGAAAGCACGTGCACCATTGTGATGAAAAAAAAAAAAAAAAAAAACTCAAAGTATATGCTACGATTATTTCATGGTGGGTTGGAATACCGTATGGTGTGATGCTGTCTGCATCTGGCAGTGTATTGCGGTGGAAGGAAAGAAGTGGAAGTGGATGAGGAAGAAGTAGCGATGATTTCAAAGGCCAGTCGAGCATCATCGGCGGCAATGGGTGCAAGATTAACGTTGGGATGGGACTTGAGGAGGGAATGGTGTCTGTGCTGGAGTGGTCGAGGCAGAGGTGGTGGTGGAAAACATCAACGGGTGCAGGTGGGATGGGGCGTGCAAAACATCAACCGAAGGCCAGGGCCAGCAGGGTAGGCGGGCAACTTATCACGATAGGTACAGGTAGACGAGCATGGCAAGACCAAAACACGAAGCCGAAGGCCCATATAGCTGGCTCAAGGTAGGGGAAAGGGAATCACGAGAAGGCCCGCCTCTCGTACGACAAACAGGGTGAGGGCCCCCGCAACCGATCATCAAGGTCACCGCCCAGAGCGTCCTTCTCCTTCAGCAGCACCACAGGACGACCGTCACCAGCTGCAAGGCTTCCGTTAGCACGAGGGGGTGTGTGCGTGCACTTGCGGTATATATGGAAGTTCCAACATCTCCCCTTCAACAAATTAAGGTACAGTCGAAGGGCCTGTGGTGCAATGGTAGCACGCTGGGCAGCCTGCATTATCAGTTGCGGCGTCACGTCTCGTACCAGTCGTGCGAGAGTGTTCATTACAGAGATACGAGTTCGAATCCCGCCAGGTCCATTATCCTTTTTTCTTTCTTTCTCCTTCGGCGCCCGCCATTCCATTTCTTCATCTCAGTGATCTGCCAGCTTTTTGGCCTCTGTTTAGGCCCTCTCCTTCCTCCAGCTATTCTCTGACCTCTTCATGCTTTTATTTCCATGCTATTTGGTGCTTTTTTGTCTGTGAGTCGAGCGATTCATACCTTGGCGAGGGACCGGGGCTTACTATACCTCTGCAGGGTTTTTTTTTTGTTAGACTGGTGACTTACAAGGGAGTAGGTCAGGATTGGTTTCCACCAGATTCCACGGGTGCCAGCCATTGACGTCAAGTCAATACAAGGTTCTCCTTCTAGTAATTTATGTGCAAAGATATCTTTTCAAGACTTCTTTTCAGCTCTTCTGATTCCGTTCTCATCCATCAAACACTGCAAAATGGCCACAAAAAACCCTAACCCTCTGGCAACTGCCAACCTCTTGAATCCGAGTACGCCGCCGTCAACCCCAAGAAGAAGACGAATAACAACACCACAACGAAAAAACTCTAGTATGTGTACGAAGAAGAAAATCCCGTGATTTATCAAGAGAAGACAGAGTTGGAATCAGAGCCCTGCATAGATTTGGTCATACGTACGAAGAAATCATCGAAAAAACCAACTATACTATGGGCCAGATTCAGGACGCTTGTACTGGGCCGTTGACACCGAAGAAAAAGGGGGCAATACATAAGGGCATATTAGCTATCAAAACACCAGAAAATCAAAGACTGAAGGAGTGGTGGAAAGAAGATCAAAATCGGTTTATCCCTATCATCGACTTGCCTTTCCGCCTGCCACCACCTTTGAATAGCTACGGTTTATGCGCGATAACTAGGGCTATTCATGACCTCGGGGGGGGGGGGGTTTCGAGATATCGACCTCGACGAATTGTTCTTACAGAAGCGGACAAACAAAAGAGGCTTGCTTTTTGTATAGAACAACTGGCTCAACGGCCAAGGCCGGAGGATTGGGAGAATGTATTTTTTCTGATGAAACCTGGGCTATTAATGATGTTATGTGGAAGAAAAGAGTTATTGTGTTTGAGGAGGACGGGGAGAAGGCGGACGACTTTCCTTTAAAAAGAAGAAAGCCGAAGGGGTGGATGTTCTGGACTTGTATTGTTGGGAGACGAAAAGCGCCCGGATTTATATAGGAGAAAGAATTCAGGGGAATTGACAGCAGGAACTATATTACCCATATTGTTCCGCTGGTTCATTCTTTTGTCAGCAATATACTGGTCTTATTTTTCAACATGACAACGCTCCATCCCACAGGTCTAGAATGACCACAAAAGAGCTGGAAAGAAGAGGGATTCCACGGTTAAATGGCCACCTAATTCCCCAGAGCTTGCCCCTAGAGAAAATGTATGGCCGTGGATGAAGACTTGGATGGAATGCCGTTATTGTGACAAATCAGCCAATAGTACACAACCATACCAGTGTGCCATGCCAGCCCTGTAAAAGGAAGCCAGAATTACAAGTCAAAGACTCTGGAATACGGTACGGTTTATATAGCCTACGTCACAGTTATGACATACAATTTTTGACTGAACAACGGTTAAAAGAAGCTATTTGGGAGGCTTGGGAAGCTGTACCGGAAGATCTATTATTAGTATTAGCACATTCAGTGCCTGACAGGCTCAGGCGTTGCATAGAGAGGCGTGGTGACTGAATAGATAATTGATGTTTTCTTTTCGTCCCCCTCACTTTTTCGTATACAAAATATTCTAGATTCTGCTTGTAAATGGGCAAAAATTTAGGGATTTTACTGTAATATACCCCCCTGGTCACTCCCCGCTTCTGGCGGCTTAGCTGTACCCAACTAACAAAAAATACCCCTGCAGAGGTGTAGTAGTCAAGGGCACGTCCTGCTGCACGCCAGTGATGATTAGCAACCTATCTACCTCTCTATTGTCTCCTCTGGATTCACATACAAAAGCGCACCCATATACAACAGACATATTGGCATCCACACTGCGGCTCAGAGGCATGTCAGGCTCGTCGTTGGATTAACGTACATCTTGAAGCCGGCCCAGCACCGCCCTTCACAGCGATAATGCGCCTCACGCAAACACGGGAAGCTCCCGGACCACCATATCCAATCGATTGAAAAGAAGCCTTTATCGGCTGCTCAGAGCCGGAGAAAGTGCCTAGGGGGTTTCGCGCCGTGGCGTGGGGCTGAGGTGCATGGACAGGGATTATGTCGCAGCTGCGCAGAGCCTAGTCGAGAGCCTACTTCAAACAGGATGGCAAAATGGTTTCTAAAATCACCAAGAACAACGCTGAGAAGATTCAAGAAAATTGGTCAGATTATGCGAGGTTGGCATAATTGGTCTGAGAATTTCCAGGAGCAGTTGAGGAGAAACTTCACTCATTTTCCGACAGGACACCTAGGAGTTGGACATGGCATGTGGGTGTGCAGCGGGATAAGCCAAGCCCATGCAGGGGTGCTGCCACTGCTGCAGTGCCGAACGCCACGATCTCGTTGGGAGGCAGCCCTTGGTACAACGAACGTCGGGGCGGTTTTATGGATAAAAACCTTGTAAGACCCCTCATCTAACGTAGACTCGAGAACCTGAGGACAACATCAATTTCTGTTTTGCTTGTCTTTGGCAACTCAGAATTATTCTCACGGCATGCCACCAGTTTTCAAGTTGAACTCGGCCCCTCTCCTCCACCACAGTTACCTCCCCGTCTTCACTCTCTTGATAATAGCACTCGCCAACAAACCAGCCCACGCCCTCAACGCGACCGATTTCCTCCCCGATCCGCCGCAGGGCACCACCGTCAAAGATGAAATCCACTGCTACGCCCTCCCCTACGGCGCCATCGGCTTCGCCAGCCACATCCTGACCTACCTGACCGTGCTGTGTCTCTCGCTCAACCGCAACCCGATGATGCCGTGGAAACGACTCAAGAACCGACGCTGGAACTTGGGCACATCGGCAGTTGGCTTTCTCATCAGCTTTCCTCTGACCGTAGTCACGATGGTGCGCTGCCGCAACTCGTGGTCGTTTATCCTGATTGCGGTCTGGAAGCTGGTTTTATCGGTCACGCTGACGGCCATGACTGTCCACGCGGCCCGGAATATCATTGAACTGCCAAAGATGAAAAAGCGGGATGGAAATAAGATATCGGAGTCTACGGCGTCCATGATACAGATGAGCGAGCACGACGATAACTTGGCGGTTCAGCATCCGAGTCCGACGGCCCAGTATAATCAGTATCTTGACACGGCACCGCTTCGCGGTCAAGACCGATCGAGATCTCCGACACCATACAGAGGAGGGTACGAGGACTACAAGGCGGCCGAGTCAGAAGCAGAAGAAGCACAGCTCCGCGAGATTGAGGAGTATTACTACAACCACCACACGCTGTGGAACGAGTCCTACCGGCGCAGACACCACACAGCCATCTGGTACCTGCTATACTTTTTCTACTTCCTCGGTGCCGTCGTCGGTTTTGTTGGCGTCGTGAACGTGGTACGGAAAAATATTGGCGAGAACCAGCAGCTGCGCATCGTGACTGGTGTGTTTGGGGGTGTCGTGCTCTTTATCGTGCTGGTCGTTGCTTTGTTGGTGTGCTGTGCCTCGTCCGGCAGCGGGTTCGTCGGCCGATTCGGGATCACGCTGTTCTTTGGCGGGCTGGTCGGCGTGTTTGTGCTGACAGTGTTGTTTGCGTTCTACACGGACTGGGTGCTGGCTGCGCTGGCGGGGGATATTGTCGGTCGTCCGTCGAAGGATAATGCGGCGTTTTATTGGACGTATTTTGCGGCGAAGAGGTTGCCTATGTTTTCCATGTGAGTCGTTATATTTGGGTCCGATGCCCTTATGTTTGTACACGAAAGTTAGTTGGATAGGGTACATGATGGGATCTGACTGCAAACGTCGGTGACGAACAAGGGAAGAAAAAGCAATAGGGGAACTTTTGGGGTTTTAGTCTAGAATGGGACAAGCTCGACGTATAACATTGAGCTCTATGTTCTAATACGCGAAAGTTGATCTCAGAAACTTCCACATCTATGTATCCCTGAGCTGTCCTCCAGCTCCTCCAGGTTCGCCATAAGTGAGCCTAGCCCGCACTGCCGCATGGCCCGGTTTTTGGTGCCTCGACTATAAGCTACATTTGTTACCGTCTGGAAACGGCTTCCCGCTACTGCTCATATTGGAGAATCGTTCAATTTGCCCAAAAGTCGTTAAATCGAGTCCAGGGATGGGTCCAAGATATAATGGCACACGGCGCCGCTGCTTATTAGGTTCTGCACGGCCACCCACCGGTGCGGCTTCTCGTTCACACAGCCAGATGCTGTCTCCCCTTTCCTTGGGCAGCGCGACCAGTTATACAGAGGATCCATATGAAGAGGCGAGTCTACCTTATGTTCCCCGTAGAAGGTCCTTCTATAACGGAGAAATTTTTAGTACGTTCCTTTAACTAAAGCACGACGTTAGTCCGCGACATCTGCGGTTCCTTCGGCTTCCATTGTCATTTTGTCATAATGGCAAGATAGTTTGATCCTGCCCAAAAACGGCTTGCTGGATTTAATTGTCCCCCGCCAGAGGGAGGCAAGATGGACCCTTCTCGCTTGCCTCCCGAGTTTCCGACAAGATGATAATAACCTCCACCGTTACCATGAAGGATGCCCAAAAGGAACTGATTGATGTGAACAGCCTCTGTAACCTCAAGTCACGGCTCCTGTCCATGGCGAGATAGTTCGAGTTGCCAAGTCTATTCAAGGCGGTCTTACAATGACGACGATAATTCGACTTCATCCAGTCCCCGCGATAATTACTCCGCTCCGTCCTTTCCAGCAAACTGAATCACAGCGCGGTCTGCCGATAGTAAGGTCGTCGGCGTCTATTTCCGCATCGTGGCATGTATAAGCGGATTTGATCATACCGGTGTTGGCCGGTCTGAAGCCGTGCGCTTCCCAAAATTGTAACTGTCCGTCTTCGGAAGGAGTTTCCTACCTTCTCTGAGAAAAATGCTAT